TCTCCTCTCCCTCTCTTCCTCACTGCTCCTCTCTCCTCTCTTTCCCTCCCTTCCTCACTGCTCCTCTCTCCTCCCTCTCGCTGTATCTCCTCTCCCTCCCTTCCTCACTGCTCCTCTCTCCTCCCTCACATCTCCAACCCTTCTCACTGCTCCTCTATCTCTCTCTGCGTCCTCCTCTCTCACGACTCTTCTCCTAGTCTTCCTCACTGCTCCTCTCTCCTCCCTCTCTGTTGCTCTGCACCATCATCTCTCACAACTCTTCTCCCTTAGTCTTCTTCTTCTCCCTTAGTCTTCTTCACTGCTCCTCTCTGTGTCCTCGTCCCTCACGACTCTTCTCCCTTAGTCTTCCTCAATGCTCCTCTCTCTTCGTCCTCAACTCTCATGAATCTTCTCCCTCAGTCTTCCTCACTGCTCCTCTCTCTTGCTCTGCACCATCTCTCATGACTCTTCTCTCAGTCTTTTTCTTCTCCCTCAGTCTTCCTCTTCTCCCCCACTTTCTTCAGCTTTAAGGCTCAGTAAATGCACTCTCCAAAGCCAGTATCCAGAGGTTTTCATTCCACACATTTTCATAAATATTTCTAAAATGCCTAATACTAGGCTTCTAAAACCAACTGAAAATTAAAATACAAACTCAAATCTTTAGTGCAATACCAATTACCAATACCTCATTTATTTATTTGAATATATCGGATGCACCCTCAAAATCTGGCATCCAATATATTCAAATAAACGGGCTTTCAAATCACATTTTTCATAAATATCTCTAAAATGCTGTATTCTAGGCTTCTAAAACCAATTTGAATTTGAATTTTCAAACATGGACTTAAATAAGAAAACAGTGGCTTTACTTGTTTATATTCCAAACATGGTAATTATTTACCCTCCACTCTGTGATCAGGATAATTAGCGTGATTATCTTTCATGCTGTTTTAATTGTTATTTTCTATCATTCCGAGCGTCTTGTTTGTCAGGGCAGGGGTCGGCAGAGCCGTGACAGGAGCCCCCAAATGCTGGGATGACGAGAACCAGGATTTCAGGAATGTCCTCATTCAGGTGTGAGAGCTGAAATCTTACCCACTGCGCAGCAGCAGCAGGATAGTGACAGTGGAACAGAGCAAAACCAATACAGGCTCAGTTACAGCTTGTTCAGGTCTGGCCCTAGTTACTAGTTCAGTCAGGAATAAGGGTGCAGATTCTTAATTAGCACTTGAGGAGAGAGCATGCAGATCTGTGCTCAGGGTGGTGGAAATGTACTTAAGATAAGGTATTTTTGAAACCAGGAAGCAGATTAATTAAAGGCACTAATTAGCACTGCTGATTAAGCACCCAGGTGGAACAATAACCAGCAGTCACAGGCCTCCAGGATACAGACACTGGTTTCATGGATCCACTCTCTGCTCCAGCCCTTCCTAGACTGCAACCTTGAGTTTCAAAACTAAACTGGAACACGACAACTGGCTGCAGTTTCTCCAGGCTCTGCAGGGCGGGAGAAGGTTTGAAATGAGGGTAGGTCCTGTACAGAAAGGTGGAAGTGATCATGGTAGAGACCTTCCTGCAGGTAAACTGTTGATAGAGGGTCTGACCCCTAGGACCCAAGACCAAGTTAGCATTAGTTACCACCCTCCAATGCTAAAAGTGGGAATCTAAAGTAACCCCTAAACTAGAATCCGTTCTCTCTGTTCCAAAACTCTCACTTATTGTTTTAAAATAACCTGTACTGTCAACACCAACAAAAACAAAAAACAAAGACTAAGCAGGAAGCTGGCGATAGCTGTTTTCCTATCAACACAAACTCTGAGGGACAAAACCATTCACCAGACCACGAGGCCATTGTTTTCTGTGGTTAGTGTTTTGTTTTTCTGTCCTGTATTTTAAGCCATTTTTAATTTGGGGTGACACTGTTGTTGTTCAACAGAAAGGCTTCTGCCGGGGCAGCGCTGAGAAACCCACGAGCTGCTGGAATGTGTTGCTGAACAAGGGCACGCTGTAGAGCAGAGAAGTGATGTGTACCAGTGATCACAGGTCACCTGCTGCCCTCTATTGATGAATTGCCGTTGCTTTGATGGGGTTTGTGTCACACCTTCATTCGGCAAATCTTTGTCGGTCTTACCATGTGATTTCACTCAGATAGGTGCTGTAGCAGAATCAGCGTCATGAACAAATGTCCTTTTCATGAGTGGCTGTAAGCCAGCACCACCTCTCTCCTCCCTCTCTCTCTGGAATGGTTTCACAGATGGACAACAAGAATAACACCTGATCTACAAGGACTCGGGGGTTTGTGGCATGCCAGAAACACTAGGCCCTTTTAATTGATTTTTGACTGCAACCCGTACAGTCTCACCCCCTCCAGGTGGCGCTGCTGTGTCTGAACGCTCCTCATGACGGATGGTACCTACACCTCTGCCTCTTCCACCTTCACAGTCTACCTCACTCTATTGTATTCATCACTGTCCTTCCGTCAGCTGTAACTCTACAATTCCACTTGCATCATGACTGCATGTTGATGCAACTGCTTCAATCTCCTGTATTGTTTTTCAAATTCCTTGTATTTTGGTATAAGGGCATAATTACTGGATCCTGACATTTTGATTTCCGTTCTAGATTATATGATTTTTAGTCTCTCTGGGGACCCTTGTCCTAGGCCTGCTTGTGCCTTTCTGATACAGTTGTAAGCTATTTGCCTGCACAGAACTGAGTCCTGAGGTGCACTCACATACAAGGATGAGGCTGCCAGCCTCTGCAGTCTTCACAGTAAGAACCACTTGTCTAAACATGAACAGGTTACAATATGTATTGATAATCTTACAACACTGTGAACACGTGGTACACTGAACTGGTATAAACAGTCTGCTATTAACACTGTGAACACATGTGGTACACTGAACTGGTATTACCAGTCTGCTATTAACACTGTGAACACATGTGGTACAGTGAACTGGTATTAACTGTGTCCTATTAACACTGTGAACACATGTGGTACACTGAACTAGTATTAACAGTCTGCTGTGAACACTTGAATGCATGAGGTACACTGAACTGGTATTAACAGTCTGCTATTAACACTGTGAACACATGTGGTACACTGAACTGGTATTAACAGTCTCCTATTAACACTATGAACATGTGGTACACTGAACTGGTATTAACAGTCTGCTATTAACACTTGAATGCATATGCTACACTGAACTAGTATTACCAGTCTCCTATTAACACTGTGAATACATGTGGTACACTGAACTGGTATTAATTTCCAGTGAACATGCTGAATGCTGTAATGTCACACAGTAAATTCAAATTGATGCAATTTCCTACTCATCACGTAGTACACCTGTAATAAACAGTTTCCTGTTAACATTGGAATACACATTACACATTGCACTCATGTTAATTTATATCCTGTTACAATGAACTAGTATTAAGTGATTTCCCATTGACATTTTGAACCACAAACAGAACAAAAGCCTATTTACAATGACCTGACAGGTGAGCAAGTACTGACTGAAGAGGCTATGAATCTCTTACCTGTGTCACCATAAGATTAGAGGTGACCCAGTCTGCCACAGGTGGCGCTGTTGTGCAGTAGCCCCCGGGGTATCTGAACTGTCTGAACCCCACCCAACCCTAGTGACGATGATCAACTGTGCACCACCTCTTGGACACTCCCCGTCTCAGTGGACTGCAGTGGCACAACCATCTCAGAAAGCCCACGTGCTTGTCTTACATATTTTTTTAGATACAGTCTTTGTAAAGTCAGAGTATTATACGAATCAATGAAGTAATCTTTTGAATTACCCTCTGAAGGACCTGGCTCGTACACTGTGACTGCTGTGTGCTAGAAGGGCTTCCAGAGAGACCTTCAGTCTTCCTCACACAGAAAGAGTACAATCTCTCCCTCCTCCTCCAGCTCTGCTCCTTCTTGTTCGGGCTCCTCTGAGCTGAAGGTATTCAGCCCAGCCTTCCTGCCCCTCAGTATGTCCACAGTCCCTCGTGAGTCCCCCCTCTCATGTCCCACTCCTCTCTCCACTGCAACGCTCACTTCATTCTTCCCTCGTTTCTCCGGTGGGCGCGCACTGTTGTCAGCCTCTGTCCCACCAGCCACCTCGCCACCCAGCTCGGGCACCTCCTGGTCTTGGGGACTCTTCGGTGCCAGTGCTGTCAGGGGTAAACATGGAGATGAGGCACTGGGGTCAGGTCACTGTGTGCCAGTGCTGTCAGGGGTAAACATGGA